GCCTATAATACCCTACTACCAACTACCTCGGCGGTAGCTGTCGAAGAGGGGAAATCTATGTTGTTCCTGAGAGTGGGTTATATTTTACGATAGGGTATGCAACCCTACCGCCAAAGACCCTGAGGGTAAGGGCTGGCTTGGTGGGTAGACCCCGCCAGCCGGCTTATAACTGTTCAAAACCTACCGTCAGGCTCGCTAGCAATAGGGTATAACAGCCTACCGCCAAAGGCCTCGGCGGTAGGGTTGACGGCACGGGTAACAAGTCCTTTACTTAAGCTGACGTGGATAAGTGGCCTACCGCTAAGGGCCTCGGCGGCAGACAGTTATACCCAACCGTCATCTACCCCAACAGTAAGGATAGAGACCAGATCCTGAATGTTCTTCGAACCAGGGTCAAATCCAGCTTAACAGGTCAAAACACTAAATTTGGCCCAACCCAGCAGGGGCGACGAACGCCGGCCGTCCAGACAAGCACGCACATTAAACCAACTAGTAGCTAATCTAAAAAAACATAAAACCAACTGGCAAGCACGCAAATAAAACCGACTGGCGTACCAAGCACTGCCAGTTGGCCCTCTCCAAACAGCCGTCTGTCCCATGCCGAGTCGGCCACGCATGCCCGTCTAGAACGATGCTGACAGCCAGCCTCCATGCGTGAACTGGTGTCGCGGGCGGAACGCACGCCCCGCCTGTCGCAACCGGGCAGCCGACACGTGGCGTACAAGCCAGCCAACAGGCAGGTCCAATCACGCCATCACGAGCAAGAGGGCGCAAGGGGGGCTCCTCACAAGCACAACCGAATCTGCTCCATGATGGTGGCACCACGCCTGCCCACGATCCACCTGTCATAGACCGCCGAGGCATGTCGCCTTGCCACCGCGGCACCAGCATCCTTTATATAGGAGTATAATCGTCATTGTTGAAACAAAGGGTGTGACACTTCCAAAGGAAAAAGTGATAACATATGATCAGCTACAATAGCTGGCCAAATATTCTTCTAAAAGCTTAAATCAACGTGAATGGACAATTAGCATGCCATCGTTCTTGATGCGCAAAAGGAGAAAAGCATGCCAACTTTCTGTAGACAACGATTTGCTCCTAACAACTATGCAGAATGAATTTAAAACAACAGGGTTTCTCCCTCACGGCAAAATACAAACCTCTGGATCCGTCTACTTTTACCAAAATCTGTCGTCAACAGCTATCTTTTCTTCAATAATGGACAAATGGCAATGCAACCACGATAACGAACCATTACAGCCAGAACTTACGATTCAGCATTGCAAGCACATTGAAGATTTGTTGGTTTCCATCTTTCAATTAGGAGGACAGGAGTTGGTGCATGAGTCGATTGATCATCTCATAACTAGTAAAAGTAATGACAGCGTTCGGCGTTGTTCGCAACAAATTTGTAGCACAACCTCGGTAGAATCCAGCAATCCCCTCCTTCTGTAACACTTGCTTTATACAGTCCGTTACACCTATATACCGTATAGCACCATGGGGAACACGGCCTTGTTCTTGCAACTTAGATCGTACAACCTGCGTGTAAAACAATGACTGAAAATTAAAATAATAGCAAAGGGCCTTTTGATGTGCCAACAGAAGGTGATTATTCCTTGTTAAATTAAAAACATCTCTCTGTTTCTTTCTCTAATTTAACTCCTAAAGGAGATCAGATATATCATACTCCATCCATGTCAGGGTCTATTTTGTTTCATCAAGGCATGTTATTGGTGTCACTAGATATGCTGTCCAAAGAATCCTGATTGTGACTTTGTAGACGCAAACCACATATTAATAGACTAATTATTGGTCAAATCCTCGTCTGGCCAAAAATACGGCTTACATTTTGTAATGGATAAAATATTTCTTTAGCCTCTCATTTCATAAGCTTATGTATTTCATTTGAAAATAGACTCCTCATTTGTAGTAGGCAGTAACAACTGCTCCATTCAGTTATCCCAGTGAGAAGTAAAAAGACTTTGTGAATTGTTGCACTCCATGATTTGCTATTCCATAATGGGGACACAAACAGATCTGGCAGACGTTACAAACAACACTGCACTTGTACTACCATAGAAGGAGAAGCATGTATGCAGCAAATGATATAGCATTTGGATGATGAAAGTATACTATCGAATAGGGAGGATCGATAAACATACCTCATGAGGGTATGTTATCAGCGAGGCTGCTATTTTGGATCCTGAAGAACAAATTGCTACTTGACCAGGGCCAAGCTTGTCAACTGTAGTATTGTCTGGAAAACACATACACTTTTCAGTCAATCTCTTGCCCAGATTCGTCTCACTTTTCATTGTAGAAGATATCTCATTACCTCTTTTGGCAAGGTACAGCTTCGCCTTCTCGTATACTGGGAACTGGATGGCTACATGAGTAACCCCAGCTAAAGAAGGAAGAAGACCACTGTTGTTGTGGAAGAAACAATCAAGGACACAACAAAAAGTAAAAACGATTGAGCTTTATAGTCAAAATGCAGCCAACCTGTACAATCCACGGAGACCTTCTTCTGCTGCAATCCTACGTAACGCAGATAAGACGCTCGTGTAAGGCACCACGCCAGGCCTCATCCCTTGTGTCTTCAGGAGAAAACAGAGTAATATAGTTGTTGAATATCATTCAATGTGCCACACAAATGCAAGATTGTGCCCCAAAATTAAGCAACAATGAAAATTCATGTATGACTCCTTATAAATGATCAGGTCCAAAGATCTTGTGACTTAGTTTAAGTTGTTAACGATAAACATTCAATTAAATCGGAGAGAAGTCCATGTTACAACCCTGAATTGTCATCAAAGTCTAAAGATACAACCCCGAACTTCAAAACCGTCTACTTTACAACCTCAAACTTTCAAAACCGTTCAAAAAACAACCCTAAACCGGTTTCACACAGTTTTGACTGGTTTTGACCATTGACTGCCTAGTCATCCCAGCCAGTTTTGACCATTGACTGGTTCCCATGATATTCAATCAGGGAAAATTTCAAAACGTTTTGCCAAACAGATAAATAATTATAAGGAAAATGCATATTCAGGACCTTTTGGGCTAAAAATTGGCAACAAAAAAAAAGTCTCCAGACCACGCCCAGACCTCAGGATCCGTCAAGAAACCAGTGCTCAAGGTCGACCTACATGGGAAGATTCTGGGACTTGGTCCACTGAACTAGGAAGTCGGACAGGGCCTGTGACTTTATCACCTTGCAAGACTGGTAAGTGATCTTGAAGGGAAGGAGCTCGATGCGCCAATTGGCGACCAGGCCCATGGCATTTCTATTGTTGATGATGTCGGCCAGGGGTGTGTGGCTGACCATAGTGATCAGGTGAGCCTGGAGGTAGTGTAGCAGCTTCCGAGCCACCATGAACACCCCATAGGTGATCTTTTCATAGTGGGTGTAACGAGACTTCGATGGGGACAACACCTCACTGACGTAATACGTCAGGTGTTGGACCTTCTAAGCTCGGCCTTCCTCCTCGCATTAAACCACGACCACCACGCTTACAATCTATGTAATAGCACAGATATATAAAAGCATGGATTCGTCAGTTCTTGGAGCGGCCAAAATTGGTTGCTTCACAGCAGCTGCTTGAGGTTGTCCGGTGCCGACTGGGCCTCATCTATCCTGACGAATTAGTCTGAATTCTGAAGGAGACCGTACAGCAGCAAGGCCTTTTCGCCAAGCTGGGAAATGAAGCGGCTTAGGGTTGCAACCTGCCAACTTCTGGATGTCCCTCGGCTTCTTGGGTTTGCCGAGCTTGGAGATCGCCGCCATTTGGTCAGGGTTTGGGCTCGACGTCGCACTGGGAGACGATGAAGCCGAGAAGCTTGCCCGAAGGAACCTCGAACAGGCATTTGTCCGGGGTTAGCTTCATCCGGAATCGGCGCAGTTTAGCAAACGTCTTCACAGGCAAACGTCTTCGCGAGGTCGGCCAGGTGTCTGTCCTCCAAACCTTGACTTGACCACCACGTCGTCGACATAGGCCTCGACGTTGACGTTGATCTACTCGCCGAGGCACTTCTGCATGGTGCACTGGTATGTTGCGCCAGCATTCTTGAGTCTGAAAGGCATCATGATGTAGCAGAAGGGCCCAAAAGGCATGATGAAGGAGGTCCTCTCCTGGTCAGATTCTTTCATCCGGATCTAGTGATATCCCGAGTAGGTATCCCGAAAGCATAGGCGCTCACACCCCACAATGGAATCGATCACCTGGTCGATGCAAGGGAGCAGAAATGGATCCTTGTGGCATGCCTTGTTGGGGTCGGTGTAGTCAGACGCACATGCGCCACATGTAGTTTTTCTTCCAGACGAGGACTGGGTTTGCCAGCCAGTCCAAGTGGGAAACTTCTCGAATGAAACCGGCAGCCAAGAGCCAGGCTAGCTCTTCTCCAATAGCTTTACACCTTTCTGGTGCGAATCAACGCAGGGCTTGCTTCACGGGTCGGGCGCTCTTCAAGACGTGCAATGAGTGCTTGGCATTTTTTGCCGATACACTAGGCATGTCAGCAGGCTGCCATGCGAAGATATCTCGGTTCTCACGGAGAAAATTGATGAGAGCACTTACCTATGTGTTGCTCAGGTCAGCGTTGATCTCAACGGTCAGCTTGACCTTCTGGGTGTCCTGGCCGAGCTAGAAAGCAGAGGTCACTTGACCTTCTTGCTCGACGAGAGGGCCTCGGGATCCGCCGTCTTCTGGATTTTGGCGAGCTCAGCTTCAGCTAGGTCGACATTGCCACCATGCAATCATGTGCGCACTTGAAGTTGCCGCTGACCATAATTACCCGGCTGGGGCCCGGCACCTTCAGCTTTAAGTACACGTAACATGGGATTGCCATGAATTTCGTGTGCGTTGGTCGGCCGAGGAGGGCATGATAGGCAAGATTGCCATGAATTTCGCGTACGTTGGTCGGCCGAGGAGGGCATGATAGGCGCTCCTGAAAGGGATGACCTCGAAAGATAGTGTCACAGCCGAAAGTTTGAGAGTGACAAAAACAACCTCCAAGGAGATCCATCCCAATGGCTGGGCACACTTCCCCGGCACGATGTCGTGGAAATAGCTGGAGGTCGGCTGCAGGCGTGAGATATGCCCATCTTTTCCAGCGTGAGATGTAGAATATGTTGATGTCGTCTTCCATCAGGACCTTGGACAGCTGACAACCCCCATGACCAAGTCGAGCACCAAGGTGAATCTCCCTAGGTGAGGAATATGTAGTCCGGAAGGTTGGACTGGTCAAACAGAATCGCACAGTAGGACCAGTCGAGGCATTGGGGGACGTCGGGCACTAGCACATTGCCTTGCACTGTGTGATCCTTTAGACCCGCTATGATTCGAGGCCGCAAAAGACCCCATCACCTTCTTTACATCATGAGGGAAGTCCTTCTCGGGATGACTGCCACCCTTGGGGCACTGTTCTCGAAGTCGTCGTTGCTTGTTGGGTTTTTCGGCGACCAACTAGTCGTTGAAGTTGCATTGTTGGCTTGCGTGTGTCGCCTGGTAGCCCAGGTAGGTGTGGTAGCTACAAGGCCATCCATTATCTCATCATAGGTTTTTCTTGGGGTTTTCCCCTTCAGCTGCCACATGCGCTACTACTTGTTTCCAGGGCCGCTTCCTTTACATCGGGGTGTTGTACTCGGCTGCGGCGACAAGGTCAGAGTCCGACTCGACATTCTTGCGCTTGCGCTTCTGGTTCTGCCTGGAGCGATCATGGTAGCCCCTTGACTTGGAGGACTCGGGCTTGTCCTGGCAGGTCCAGTTTTTCCTGCCAGCTCACACGATCTCTTCTTCGGCCGCGAAGTCGTTGGCGATTTCCATGAGCTCGCACATACACTTCCTGGCCCCGAATTTGGCCTAAATAGCCTGCTCACTGGAAACATCGTCCAAAGAGTTTCTCTTTGAGCAACCACGAGATGAACCAGCGGATCGTATCCTAAGGCTCTTGAATGCAATAAGTGAGGTCATAGGCACTGCATGACATCTGGTAGGTGCCTTCAAAATTTGTCATGAACGCATCCTAGAAAACCTGACACTCATAAATAGAATTGGCTACGGACGTAGCAAAGTGCATTCAGTTCATCTCCTCTGGCTTGGTTGACGACTGTGAGGTAGTCGGCTAGCCAGTTGTCCGACTTGGAGTCGCTCATATATTTGTCGACGCCCTACACCTGGAATGTTGGCGTGAAAGGGTGCTCGAGGATGTCTTTGATAAAGCATGCCAGGTTGATGAATGCCGCCCGACTTGAGTGAACCAGGCTAAGGACCTCTGGGTCCCATCGGTATCGTGGTGCTCTACGAGCGTGAAGGGCTTGGATGGTATCCCACGCATCGGCCGACTTACGAGTCGGTCTTGAACCATGAGGGTCAGATCGAATGGTGACGGGCGGCCTAACGAGTTTGAGCTACAGGTCAGTTGCGATTGGGCGCGAAGAATTGACGTTTGTGCGCAGCTCAGAGGTGATCGCTAGTCGGTTGCGCATCTGGGTTGACATGTCGTGCTGCACCACTGCTGCCTTGATCACAGTGTTGAACCACTCGGCCATCGGTTGATCTGGCATGAGGTTGATGTTGTCGTGCAGATCCACACGACCGCCATGGGGTTCCGGAGAAGGGTGAGATAAACCATTGCGTCATCGAGCTACCAGTCCAGGATGGAAGCACGGGATGGAAGTTTAGCTGAGAGTGCACACGAAGCAATTACCCAAGTTCAGGCCCTTACGGTGGAGGTAATGCCCTACACTCCTGCTAGATTGATTGGGTTTGGAGTACAATGATCGCATAGGTGTATTGAGACTAGATTAGATGTCTATCCCTAGGCCTCACTTATATAGGGGACAAGGCCTAGGGTTTACATGAGCCCAGGTTGATTACGACCCGGTGGAGATACCCCGTGATCTCCGAGATAGCCACGCTTGATCCCCAAGTAAATAGCCATGCCCTGAGGAGCCCGCCAGCCAGAAAGCGGGCATGGGCCGCATCATGGCTTGATGGGCAAATGTCCGGCCTGGCGGGTCAACTTCCGGCCCGCTGGTGTAACCCGGTACATGGCACTGTCATTCTTGTTTCCCTTTTTTTCTCAGCTTGCTCGACATATCTTTCACAACGATGCCAAATGGGGCACATAGTCATTTTTCGAGCAGCTTCGGGCATTGGCCATCGCCTGATCAGGTTGATCAATAGCACTCCACTCCCCACATGCACCGTGCCACTATTGCCACACCGCTGATAATCTCGCCTCCAGCAATGTGTGTCGTTGGAGATAGTTCGACTATGCATGGCTCGCTACACATGGTCCTTCTCAGCTCTGGGTTATCTCAGCAATAGAGCAAGAGAATCACATAGTGGCACCCCTTAAAGTGCCTTTTCTCACCTCTTTGATTGCTTGCCTTGTCGCTGTTAGACTGTTACCATTACCGAAGAGAACCAAACAAAATGAGCAATAGTCTCAATAGAGACACAACACGTTGTAACCTAATTACATTATCATTTGTGTTAACAATGCCCTAACCAAACACTTCCTTAGTTTCAATAACAAGCATCCAAGTAATACAGCTGATCTTTGCTAGATTGGTCAACATCCTAAGTTGTGTGTGTATTGTACGTTGTGTTCTCTTCTGGTTTGGTAAAACAAAATATCAGGTTTTACAACTTAAATTTGGGATCACCATATATATGCCCGTGGATTCATGTGAAGACGATGCCAACATGCGACACCCCAATGGATAGCATCATCCCTTACAAGGTTGAGACTAACCTTGCTAAATATCTTGTGTCCGGGGCTAGGATTTACTTGAATTAGTTGTTAGACAATTATGCACCTTGATCAACATTAATACAAGCACCATTTACGCTAACGCTGTGTTTGGATGTCTGTATTGGGCTGTCGAATTGGATTTGGTATTGGGCTGCTCTCAATACAGGTGTTCCGATGTACTCTGAAATATCACACCAAAACTGTAACGAATACACAGGCATTACAGCTCGCAGGCAAACTATCATCCCAACGATTCGGAGCCCTCTCGCTCCGATTTCGGTCGAATTGGCTCTTCCGCAAAACATAGCGGTTAAGGATGATATGTTTCGTCCCACGACCATGAACAGAGAAAATGGGAGGAAACGAGCCCTCTCGCTCCGATTTCGGTTGAATTGGCTCTTCCGCAAAACATAGCGGTTAAGGATGATATGTTTCGTCCCACGACCGCGAACAGAGAAAAGGGGAGGAAACGAGGACAGGAGAGAACACAGCGAGGCAGTCGACGGCGGCGCCCAGCTAGATCAACCACGGCAACGCGGGTATCTTCGGCAGGCCGTCCCTTCCCTTCCTCCTCCGCTGTCGTCCCTTCCTCTCCTCGCCACAGTTCGATCTTGTCCTCCCTGGCCCTGGCCCCATGCCGCCAGGTCCCATCTGAGCTCAAGCCCGTTGCTGCATCCCCTCCGACACCTCCAAGGGGGAGCTGATGCACTGGTTCACCGATATTCAAGGAGCCATTGGATGTTGAGATCGATGTGGTTCATGCACTGTTGGGCTCCTCCGGCTATCCAGCTCCGCACCTCCTGCAAAGCGCACGCCGTCTGCCCGTAAGACCAGGGGCCAGCTGCCAGGAGGACCAAGGGCCGCTGCCCGCATGGCGTGGCGTGTTGTCGGGGAACCAGCCCTCTTCTGTATCTCAAGAAGCTTTGGCTCGACAGGAACGAGCCCTGTTCTGTATCTCTGTTCTTCAGGTTCAGTTGCTGTTCTTTCGTCAGTACTATGTTTCCGTCAAAATCTGCGTGCTTATGTTTCGCCTTTATAGAACACTTCCAAGTGTGTTTGCCATATAGTTAATGGATAATTGCAACCGCGGGATTTTCAATCGGAATGTCATAGGGCTAAACAATCCAGCGCGCCACAAGGTTGAACCTGAACCTATCTATTGTTTTGTCAAATTTGGAACTATGTCATGTTTAACTTGAAGCTATCTGAACTATTGTGTTGTTAAATTTGGTAAAAGAAATCCTATATAATCATCCAATTATAGTCACACATTGTAAACAAAATTGTTTTGATGCATACATATGTTGCTATGCAATTCCATAGTTTGCCATCCAAACATGATTCCGTACTGAAACCTCAGTATGATTCCGTGAGCCAATTCAGTTAACACCCAAATAACCGAATTCGTATTCATGTCCATTACAATTTCATGTGAGCCAATTCAGTTAACACCCAAATAACCAAATTCGTATTCATGTCCATTACAATTTCATGGCTGAACTGGAAATGAAACCAATTCAATATGGAGGCCTCCAATACAGCCATCCAAACAACAACAACAACAACAAAGCCTTTAGTCCCAAACAAGTTTGGTAGGCTAGAGGTGAAACCCATAAGATCTTGCGACCAACTCATGGCTCTGACACATGGATAGCAAGCTTCCACGCACCCCTGTCCATAGCTTGTTCTTTGGTGATACTCCAATCCTTCAGGTCTATCTTAACGGACTCCTCCCATGTCAAATTCGGTGTACCCCGACCTCTCTTGACATTCTCCTCACACTTTAGCCGTCCGCTATGCACTGGAACTTCTGAGGCCTGCGCTGAATATGCCCAAACCATCTCAGATGATGTTGGACAAGCTTCTCTTCAATTGGTGCTACCCCAACTCTATCTCGTATATCATCATTCCGGACTCGATCCTTCCTCGTGTGGCCACACATCCATCTCAACATACGCATCTCCGCGACACCTAACTGTTGAACATGTCGCCTTTTAGTCGGCCAACACTCAGCTTCATACAGCATTGCAGGTCGAACCGCCGTCCTGTAGAACTTGCCTTTCAGCTTTTGTGGCACTCTCTTATCACAAAGAAGGCTAGAAGCTTGGCGCCACTTCATCCATCCGGCTTTGATTCGATTGTTCACACGCAAACACAGCGTAAAGAAAACTAATGCAAGCCAAGGTATACAATCAGTCTTGCATGATCTTAATGATATCATACTCCATCCTTTTGGGTTTACAAGGCCCCTCACAAAGAAAACCCATACCAAGACAGTCATTAACATTTCAATCTTTTTTATTAACCACATCCTAAAATGCTCGCTATAATCTCCCACCTAATTTCCCCCCTTTAACTCTGCCCATGCACAGCCAATAGCACAAAGGAATTGTTTTGCATATGATGATTTACATCTGATCTGTGTACAGCAACGTGATCCTATGCTTGTTTTTCAAGTAGCGATGTGATCCCTTGGTAATTGGCTACCGTCGGACAAAGATCCAATGAGAAATCATCGGACATGTAGCACTACTCATAGCATAGTTAGTGCTCGTATTAAACTCTGCACATCAACCAATGAGTAAATGGTCTAGCGAGTAATGTGGGGACAGGATGGCAAGGGTAATGGAATTTGCATTAGCAACATATCTGATTTTGGTAAGAGACCTTCTAAACCCAAAAGGTGGGAATATACAAGACACAAGTTTGGAAGTAATTTGCAACACCATAAATCTACAGAATCGATATGTGCCTCTGTTACAAAAATAAATTGGGCCTTCTGAAATAAAGACAAGCATAGCAATGTAGTATACATACTTGTAGTCTAGTCTTCACAACCCATAATGGATTAGTTGCAACAGCTGTTGCAATCCCTGCACAGGAAGCAGCTAAAATATTTTCCTGTATGGACAGTTCGCCATTTTTAGTATCTGCAAAATGAACAAGAATAGTCAGGAGCTGACACCAGAGTATGTACGTTGTTCTATTATCTGCATCAACAAAAATAGAACATGGCTAATGTTTAATATTTAACATGGTATGCTGTCAACAATCAGTACAAATTAAATTCTTGTTTAACAAAATCCACTACTGTGGGTTAAAAAAACTACCGTTAATTTATCATAACAAAAATACATCTGCAGACAAAAAAAAACACCACGTGGGTAATATTTATGCCAAATTTTCTCCTCGACAATGTGATGTTACATCAATTGCCCAGACACTCTGAAAAACACAATTTGCCAAGTACCATTACAAAAATACCAGAATTTGCTAGAAAACAGTCACTAAATTAACTCCACATGTTGGGAGGAGAAATAGCACCTATGAAATGCCTAATTTGCCCCTGGCTTGAATGAATCAAATTGTCTCAACCGACTGAACATGCATGTTCAAATGTTGTTAAATTGCTTCAGCTAGCTAGGTGATAGCTGTAGTGATATATGTGTGCTTGAGCTTGATTGCTAGTGATATGTGTGATTATATCAGCTTGTGCTTTTTCTAAGTAAATTGTTAAGAAAAAAATGGTGAATAGATGTGTTAAAACTGCTAAGTGTGGTGCATGGTGCAAGTGAAAAAAAGGTAAAACCATTTTGGCTCTTGTAGCAGAGGATAATAAATAGGTCTCCATAACCGAATGGTTAAATAAACACATTTTGCATGCAAAAGGCACTGAATCAGAAAGACATTACGAACTTCATGTAAGGACAAGGAACCAAATACTTTAAAATTATCAAGGCCACTAGTAGCAAAAACCAAAGTACAACTTGGCACCTGGTAGTGACAATCTTTTAATGTTGCTAACCAGGATTAAGATATACATTTGACCTGATAATTTATCAGCTCAGTAAAAAAGATGGAACATCTTTCTTGCAGATTGAATGTATTTCAGGTGTTCAATCTAAAAGTCCAAGTGGGAAGAAAGAGAGAAAGGCGAATCCTAATACAGTATAACTGTGTACAGATAAAATTTTCTTCCATTCCACAGTACAAAATCAATTCAACTTCAACTCGCAGTATCTTCCTTTCATCTGCATGGGCATCACCCAAACTACTCCCTCATTTGGAGATGTCCTATATGAATGTCAAAGAACCCCTATTTCATGTGAAATTCAATCGCTGTTAGGTCTGATGAAGTTAGGTGCATTTAAGATTGTTGCAATAACATGGTGTTGTCCTGTGGAACATGTTGCTGTGAAGAATGTTTGCTATGATTAGCCAGGTTCTGCTATTTTATTGTATGGCTCTGAGCTTACCTGTAGTTAAT